ATACTTAAAAATAAACACTCAAAGAACTAATGTTTAAAATATTTTCTTTTACATATAGCAAGAAGAATTACTAATGTAATATTTTCATCCAGTGAGGATTACATAATGGTGTCATGGTACCTCCTAAGATAACTATGCAATTGTCTTTTCCTGTTGTTCGCCAACGACAGCACAATCCAAATCAAATCTTAAGGGGAAGGTGAGCAAAGTCCCTCCAATGAGTTCAAAATTAGGAGAGAAATCTTAATACAGTTTTTGATTTGTTACAGACTCCTCTCTGGCTCCGATGTTGTTCTAAAATTTAACCTGTCCGTTTTCATGGATTTCCTGTGTGCAGTGTGTATACAAGCCTGTTTCCCTTACAAAGGTCCTCCATGAAGGTATCCCTTTCCTTAGGCAGATAGCCTTCATGTGTTGTATTGTAATCAAATAAACCAATGAAACAAACCCAATGGGGATTCAGCAGTAGGCTTCCTGGGACATCCTCTTCCAGGGATTCATTCCATCTTTAAATTATAGGATTGTAGTTAAACAGCCTGCCTAGGAAGTCTACCATCAAGTTTCATCAAACTTAAAATCCATTTCAGTGGTTGGTAATAATCATATGCCACAGGCAGACAGTATAGTCATGGAATGTATTCAAGGCCCTTACCACAGCAAGGGCTTCTCATTCTGTTTAATTTCTTTCAGTGGCAGATAACAAATGGCTACCATATTTTATTGCAGCAGTCGTCAACCCTTAGAATTTCATGGATCACTACATACATAATTTTATATTTGACGAACCACTAGTATGAATTTAAAAAAACCTTTTAATCAGACCTTAAAAACAACATATTAATTCGGAAAAACAATATTCAACTTTCCAATACATGTAATTCCAATTTTCATTTTGTTAATATAATTTTCAAAACATTTGGTGTTCAGCAGCATGCCTTTATGGAAATTCAGGCTTTGCCCCTGATTCTGAGTAACAATTAAAACACTATTAACATCTCACTGATACACATATTTAAATGATATGAAAAGTTCAAAAATCTTACCTTCTTGTACAGAAAACTTCACATTTCCATATGACTGAAAAGGAACTTTACAAAAAGCAAGAACAAACCGGCAAACGCAAAGCAATATCAATAAACTTAACCAATTTTTAATTGTAAACTCAATAATCATCGCTTATTCAGCAATGGCGCCATCGATCAACAGTTAGAGAAAACAAAAACGGAAACTTCCAGTGATGCAATTATAAGCAAGAATGCAGATGGTTCTCATAAAAATCCATCAAGTTGCTTACTGACACAGAAAAAAACTGTGTTGTTAATGACTACAATAGCATAAGTTTGTAATTAAAAAGGAAAGAGAATTTGCGCTATTATTGATAACAGCAACATATCCATGGATGCCAACTGTCACTCTCAAATGTCGCTAGATACACCTGCAAAAGTTGCTAAATACAGAAGGAATTTCGCTAAAAGTAGCAGCTAAATTTTTTTTAAAAAAAAATATAATCCATATTCTATAATAGGTTTTGTTACTCATCATTTTTTAAACTGAATCTTCATAAAAATATAAATAATGTCCCAATTTTTCTGTGGACCATCAAAATGTTTTCAAGGACCACTGGTTGGCGACCGCTATTCTATTGGATGTTCTTCTGAACATTTTTCTTATAATAGCACAGCACCCAAATCTTAGTTACTAGCATCCATTTAAACTATGTAAGGCTTTGTTGCATCAGTGTGCTTTAAGATTGAATGACTAACAAGTAGTTATTTTAATGTCTGGAAAGAGTTTTCTTCTTCTGATCCCCATGTGCAGCTTACATCTTTTTTTTTTTTTTTTTTTTTTACTTCACTTAGAGGTCTAGCTATCTATACCAGGAACAAGTCTGCAAGAAAGTTCCTTGGAGCAGGCATCCCTTGTATAGCAGAGGTTTTTTTCCTGGATAAAGTTCTACTCCTTCATTAGTAATCCAATAATGAAGATATTTCATGTTAACTGCTTTTCTAGTGATTTTCAGCAAGTTTAAATTGCAACAGTCTTTTGAAAACTTCTAGGTCAGCTGCATGTTTTTTTGAAAGTCTGTCATAGTTTTATAATATTATCTAAATAAGCAAGAACAAGCATATCTTTCCAGCCATTTTGGAATTTATCTGTTAATATCGGAAATGGCCAGAGCAGTTTTCAGTCCAAAAAGCATTTGAATGAACCAGAATATTCCAAAATTCCAAACAAATACTGTTTTTTCTCTGTCTGTAGGACAGAAGCTGACTTGATGTGACTTCAGACTACAAATCAGTGATTATCATATCTGGTGTGTGTTTAGCAGCATGTAGTAAGTCATCCATCCTAGGTAATGGAAAAGTCTGACATCGTAAAAGCATTCAGTTCTTGGTAATCAGTGCAAAGTTAGAATTTTATGTTTAGTTTAAGTACAATAACTACAGATGCAATGTATGGAGACTCAGATTCCTCTATTATTTTCTTTTCCAGCAGATCATCGAGCTCCTTCTTTAAAATACCCTTCTTGGCTAGAGACATCTGTTATGGGGGTACTAAAAACTCGAAGATTATTCCCAATGGTGTTAAATATAGTTAATCACAGTCTTGTATTTCATTAACAGAGCACTGAGTTTTCCCTTTAATTTTCAATCAAATGTTTTCCTTCATTTTCTCTTAATCACATTGTATTGAATTCTGCATTATTTTTTAACACAGGGGTGGTTTGAAAACATCACCACTAAAGCTAAATTTCTGCTTAGGGTTGCCATGGAAATACCATCTTTTATTTGGAAGATCTAAAACAATTTTAGTGCTACTTAAAAAAAAAATCAGTTCTTAAAAGTGTTCTGTTGTCTTTTGGTGTAGGTAATGCACATAAAGTTATTTAGAAGGATCCTGAAGACCATTGGTGAGGGTAACATTCTGGCTTTCCCAAACTCTATTCGTCTTTCTCTCAAAAGTGGATATAATGTTTATCCCGCTGTAATGTGGTTGGCTCCATTGCCAGTATATGCAATTCTGGTTAACCTGTTTATTTTTACTCTCAAAAGTCACTGGTGTCTGAAGGTAGCTCTAAAATCAGCTTCTGCTTTGAGGGGAGAGGAGCAGACCGTGCATTTAACCTTGATAAAGCGTGACTTCGCATAACCATAGCAGTTAACTGTTTCCCAGTCTTCATTTTTTTGCATTATCTCTTGATGAGGTATTTTTAATACGTTGAGGATTACCTCTATGATTTTGGGGACTATCTCATTGTTGAAACTTGGGGGTTTCCTAACTAAAATGTTTATTTCATACATTCATAACTTCTTCGTACAGATCTATTTTGTTAGCAAGCTGATGTGGGTTATTCCACTCACTCCAGTTACCCAAAAAATGTTTTTTTTTTTTTTTTTTTTTTTTTTTTTTTTTTTTTTTTTTTAATAACCTGAAAGGGCTTTCTTCTTGATTTGATTTCCCAGTACCAAATTCTTTAACTGCTCAAATGTCATTACTTTTGATTCTTTAAGCTTCCTATGAAAATAGCTTTGTAAGTCAAAGTCTCTTGAAGTGTTTACTGCATTATTTCTATGTTGAGTAAATAGTCATTGAAATTTCTGAGCATGCTGTTCTATTTCCATTTTTCCCCCATGTGGTTCAAACATTCTTTCATAAAATCCGCATCATGCATGGGACTGGTGATTATAACATTACTTATTTCAAGAATTCTAAAATTTTCCACTATCACTGCACCTAGAGCCTCTGCTAAATCAGTTAAATCCTATTTCTTCTTGTTTGCTAAATAATCCATGCTTAAATGGAAGTTGATAAATTTCCTCAAAATGTGCATCTAAAACATTTAGTATGCCATCATATATAGGGTTTTTTTATATGGATTTAGTACACATCAAACATATCTAATCAAAAGCAAAACAAAAAGCAAGATAATAATTAATATCATTTTTATTGATTTTCTGAAACAACAAATAAAATACTATTCTCAGACCATAAACTGTTATAGGATACTTTCAGTAATTTGCATAAGTGCAAAATATAGCATCTTGAGACTAAATATTTCTATGCTTTGTATGTTGTTCTGTTTTCAATACAAAACTAAACGTTCTCATTATGTAAGTATTGTATTTTACAATTATTTTTACTGCTTCGTATTGAAACTTGCATAGAACAAAATACTTGAATTTTATATGAAATACTCATTCATTTGTAAAACTGCCAAAATAGCATGTGCTACCACAATTCATAATTTAAATTGCAGCATACTTCAAAATTTATATGTCACTTCAAATTCAACAGAACATTTAACTAATTCGGATGATCAGCAAAAATGTAATTAGGTCAAGGTGACCAGAATTTTTTAACTTTTCTTTAGTTCTGAATTTACTTAACTAAAATAATCAAACATTAAAATTTACTTATCCTCAAGATAACTATGCACTGTCCATCCTCTTCAATTTTGTTTTTGGTGACCCATATGGAGATGTTTGGACAATATGTTTAGTGTCACATAAGTCAAATTTTCAGACCCTTAGCTGGGCTGCCAGTTTATAAAAGGAAGAGTACATATTCTTACTTAAGGTAAAGACTTGACCAACTGGTGTTTAAAATATTTTTTAAAGATAACATAAAAAGAATTACGAACATAATAATTACAGCTCAATGAGGATTACATAATGTCATACTATGGTGCCTTTGAAGATAACTCCACAATTATCTTTTTCTGCTGTTCGCCAGCAGTGGCACAATCCAAATTCAAATCTTGGGTGCAGGGGAGGAGAGGAAAGGCTGTCTGATGAATTTAAAATGAGGAGGGTAAAATTAGTACAGTTTCCGATTTTGCACAATATTAAAAGAGGTTTCTTTAAATCTCCTAGAAAATATAAACACCAATCATTTTTTGTTAAGTATTTCATGCATGTGTTAAATTATTTTTATGTCATAAATAATGATGTTTTTGTTTATTAACATGAATAATATTATTTGTTATGAATTTTTTGTAGACGATTGCATACAGTATCTTGTGGGATCTTCACTTCCTTTTAAGGTAAAGATAACTTCATAAATTCATCTAAATTTTACCTTTATATAAATGTTAAAATTTGCTTTTTTAGTATACTGTTTAATTAACTCTAAATTTCAATTGTATAGATAGGCCCACCAGCGGCCGAGCGGTAAAGTCGCTGAACACTGGTAGTTCGGTCCGAGGTTCGAATCCCGCGAACGGGCTGGCTGCATGGGTGTTTTCGTGGTTTTCCCCATGTGTAACGTGTATATGAGCCAGTTTCCCTTAGAAAGTCCTCCACGAAGGCATCCCTCCCTTTAGGCAGATAGCCCTCGAGGCTTTGCCATAATCATACACACACACACACAATTGTATAGATACATTTTCTGTTGTTTGTTAAGATCTTAAAGAAAAGATAACTGAAACCTGAAAAACTATTTGCTTACACCTAAGTATGTATTAGAATAAGAGATATTCATATTTATAACTTAAATTGTCTATGTATCTTTTCTAGAAAAGCTGTATCGTATGTCACTGTAATGAAATGTTTGAACGTATTATTGATCTTCCTCAGAATACAAGCGATTGTTTCATTACCATTTTAAAAGAAATGGGTCAACTGATGTAGCTCCATCTCTTTGTTCAACAAAACATAGTATTAAACATTAAAAAAGTTCTTTCTGCTATACCCGCAATATTTCAGAACTTTTCTTGCAATACACGAGCTTCATGAAGTTCTATAATCCCTAATCTATAACACACCTGCAACAAACAGTAATTCTATTTCTGACACAGAAATGGTGCAAGGATATGCTTCTTTATAATTTCTTAAATTGCATTGTGTTTTAAATAATTTATTTAGTTTCAAAATGTCCATCGTATGTTAATCGTCATACTAACAGATGAAGTATCAAAAATTGATAATACGAATATAATTAACATGCAAATTATAAATAATGGCCATGTTAGAGTAGGTATTGGCCATCGGAACTGCACAAATGACAAATGTGAAGGTAATTTAAAATTAATACACTCTTTTTTTATGTTTTATTTTATATCAGATAGTTTCTTTCCACAAACTTTCTTTTTAGTTCCTTTGCTTAGTTGAGATCTGTGTGTCTCTGGAGCTTTGCCATCCTTTGTTTAGTACCTGTTATGAGACTCTACCTGAATTTTGTTCATTCAGTCGGTACTCCATTAAAAGAAATATAAAGAGAAACTTATAATTAAGTAATACGGGCAATCCACCCAATTAATTCACTATAAAACAGGCAATCCACCTTAATGCAAAATTATGGTGCATTTTGCTTTTATTATTATTAAACATAAAAACGATATAATGTTGCCAAACCATAAAATTTAACCTTTAAAGAAATTACATTCATACAACCATCGCGACATCTCCTCCCTCCCTCCTTTTGATTTTGGTAGACGGAACATAATCAAAATACAATATGCTTAATAATGAGTCTAAACAATACTTAGTATAATCATAAAAAGAAAAAAAAACTAATTTAAACGCGAAGGTTTTACAACAGTTCTACCACATCTAGTTTTAATTATCTTATCAGGAGGTTTAAAGTTAATTTCTTTACTAGCAGGAATGTTAAATTGGTTTTGTTTAGGTAAAAACAAGTTCTCGTCGTCCATCACTTCTAAAGGATACAATCGTTGCACAGGACGGATCAATTCACCTGCAGCTGTTTTCACATTTGCCACTCTAACAAAATTATCTTGACTATGGAATAGTTCAATAACTTGACCCAATGGCCAGTCCAATCTTTTTTTGTTGACAAGTACCACATCTCCTAAATATTTTTGTCTTCGAGTAGCTTTATTATCTCTGGAATGAGTTAGGAGACTCAAATATTCGTCTCTAAATCATCTTCTGAGATCTTGATGTAATTTCTGTCGATATCTATATCGCTTAGTGATGTTGACTTCATCTATATAGTCTAAGTACGGAACTCCCTCCGTTCTTATATCCTGAATGAGCATAGAGGGTGTTAAAGGCATTAAATCTTCAAACAAATAATTTAACGGTCTTGCATTGATAACAGCTTCCATATCGCAGAGAATGGTACACAGCTCTTCACATCTCAAGCAGGCTCTTCCTAATATTCTTCTCAAAATTTTCTTAATCATCTGAATAATACGCTCTCCCCACCACCACGCAGCTGTTGGGGAGGATTGAACTTCCATGTAATCTTCAAAATTGAACATTCTCACATAATTTTGTTCCAATCGAGTGAAAGAAAGAGGTTGTTAGTCCCAACAAAGTTCGTACCATTGTCACTATGCATAGTTTTTGGTCGTCCACATCTGGCTATGAACCTTCTGAAGCCCAACAAAAAATCGTCGGTGGAAAGTACTTGTATCAGTTCAAGATGTATGGCCCTATAAACAGCACAGGTGAATAAAAGTATCCAACTTTCTTTCCATCCATTATATCTTTTGCATCGAATGCATTTTGCAATTACCCTTTGAATTGTTTTGCGTCCTATTAAAATCCAAAACCATTGACAAATATCCGTCAAAACAATTTGAACTCCAGCGTGTAAAAGTACTGTATGTCTTTCGAAAATTAACTTTTCTACAATTTGATGATCAGAAAGTAAAAGTATGGGACACACGAAATAATCTATATCATCTCTTCGAAGGATTTTTGTCTTCAGTCTCATTAAACCTTCTTTATCAGTGAAAATGCAAAGAGTTTTCAACTTTGTTTTTGTAGATTTGTTTTAGAAAGGTTCTTTCTGAACAATTAAGAAAAGCCTTTTCTCAGCTGCTGCTATTTCCTGAACAGATAATTATTCCTTCAGTTTACGATAGGAATTTCTGCAATTATGAAAGAATTGCAGAATCCAAGCTATCAGATGAATGATTCTCGAATATTTAGAAAAACGATGCAAGTACTATTTTTCGTTATAAGCATTTGAGGTAGCTAAGACAGTTTTCCTTTTTTTCTTTCTTTAGAAACCTCTTTCATATTTAATTTAATTTCAGAGACGAGCCAATTTTCTTCAGGCTGTTTAAGCCACGGTGGACCCTCCCACCATCTGGATCTGAGCAAAACTCCAGTGGAACATCCTCTGGATGGGAGATCAGCCGGATTGTCGCTTCCTGAAATATGCTTCTGTTGTTCCTTTGATGTTAAATTTCTTATCTCCTTCACTCGATTATTTACAAATGTTCCCCAGTTATCTTCATGCTTGATCCAGAACATAATGATAGAGGAGTCAGCCCAACAGGTACTTGGTATTCCCTTTAAATCCATTGCTTCTTTCACTGTTGCAGTGAGACGAGCTCCGATCAAGCATGCTAACAATTCTAATCGAGGCATCGTTATCTTTGTTAAAGGAGCCACTCTACTTTTAGCTTCATTTAAATTAACTTTTACCCCTTTCTCAAATTTGCTTCATAGAAATACAATTGCGCTATAGGCGGACTTGCTCGCATCACAAAATGTTTGAAAACTCAATTTTTCTTCCGGGACATTGGCTTTGGACATATCTTGGAATTTTGATCTCTGTCAAAAGATGTAAATCTTCAAGCCATTTATTGAACTCCAGGCAAATATCTTCTGGACAGGTTTCATCCCAGCCAATCTTCAGGTTCCAGCTACTCTGTATTAACAGTTTCAAACGAATCGTTACTGGATACAGAATTCCTATAGGATCGAAGAGGCTGTGAACTGTCGAAAGAACATATTTTCTAGTAATGGTTTTTTGTTTGAAATCAATTTTTTCAAGATCGCAAAACAGAACATCTTTCGTTTTATCCCATAATAATCCAAGAACAGGGATTTTTTTAAAACTTTTTTCACCTGTCAGACTGGAATGTTCCCAACCTCTTAAATCAAAACAACCTGTAGCCAGAATCTGTTTTGCTTCAAAAATGAATTTCTTAAGTTCATCTTGACCAGTTACCGAAGTTATGCAGTTTTCCACATAGAATGCACTCCTCAGCTTTTCTACGGTTTCAGGAAAATGGCTTTCATTTTGTCCCAAATGGTAATCTAGAACGGCAGCTAGCAAGAAGGGGCTACTCGTAAGTCCAAACACTACTCATCGGTGATGATAAATTTTTTGTTTTCTTTCCTTATAATATTCCCACCATATAAATCTAAGAAAATCTTGGTCTTCTTTGGCCACAGATATCTGTAAAAACGCCTTTTTTATATCTGAAACTACACCAATTTCCTTCTGACAAAATCTCATAAGTAATGGAGGAATTTTTTCGATAAGATTTGGTCCTGTTTCTAGACAGTCGTTGAGCGAAAGTGAGTTCGTACTTCTACACGAAGCGTCAAATACAGGGCGTACCTTCGTAGTAGAATTTCCTTTAAAAATACCTTTATGAGGCAAATAATGACAAGAATTTCCCAATTCACTATTTGGTACTTCTTCGATGAAAGTTTTCTGTAACCATTCCTTAAATACAGCTTCATAGTCATCATATTTTCCTTCTTTAAGAAGTTTCTGAGTATTACTTATGCATCTTTTTTCAGCTATATATCTTTGTTTTCACGTAACGTCTCGTACGTCTCTATCCAAGGTAGTTTGACGATGTAACTGCCACTTTCATCTCTCTGAACGGTTTTTCGAAAATGCTGAATAATGGAACTGTTCCTGTTTCTCTTTAGTTCTTGTTTCAGTAGGGTCCTTTATACCTATAGTATCTAATTTCAACAAATCAGCCACGGAAGAACTTTTAATCAGTAAAGATGTCACTAAGTGGGATGAAGTTTCGTCAAAAATTTCTTCGGACATGTTACCCATGATAACCCATCCTAAATAAGTTTCACGTGGAATCAAATTGGATTTCAATGTATATATTCTTCCTGTATGTATATTACCACAATAATCTGCACCTATTAGCAGATCAATATTAGGACAGCCTTCTCCATAGTCAGTGAGCCAAATTTTATTTTCTCTAAACTTTTCCTTATAAAGGTCTCTTTTCAACCGAGGAATGTTGCCACAAATGATCTGCTGATCCAGAACCTTTATGTTACAGAAGTCCCCTTTCAAAGATATCAAGTTAACATCATAAACATAATGCTCCCTTTTCTCGGTTGTAATTCCCCCAAATAGAGAGTGAATTAAGATTCTCTTTTTATGTAGGCTTCAAACCTAGTTTCTTAGCTGTTTCTTTAAGAATGTAAGAATGTTGTAAGCCAGTGTCAATGAGTACATGTACTTGTAACTCTTTCCCTTTAGTCTTCAGTTTCACTTGTAACGTTTGAAGCAATATTTCATCAGAAGTGCATAAGTTAGACGAACTAACATCAGACGACAACGTCTTCTCAAGTTCCTGTACGTCAACTTTCATCTTATTTCCAGGGAGTTCTGGGCACATCAAAATCGAACATTTTTTAAAGCAAAGAACACATTTGATGTTGGACTTGCAAAATTTAGAACGATGTCCAATTTTTAAACAGACCTTTTTGTTTTTTAAAATTTCTTGAAACTTGAGTTTACGTGCAGAAAAGCAATCTTTACTTTCTTGCAATTTATCACAAAATATGCCTTTTTTCTCTGTGGTTCCCACAAAAAAATCTGATGTAGTCAGTGGATTACTAGGAACAGAACGTTGTATTTTTTACCTTCTGAAATTTTTGTTCTTTACTAACAAATTCCTTTGCTAAACAAATACATTCTTCCCCTTCAATTTCAGCTTTCAGGAACAATAATAATTTTTTTAATTTCTCCCCATAAGCATTTTCTTCTGAAGAATCAAATTTGGTGTTAACTATAGTGTTTCTTAACTAAACTCTAAAAGTGTCTTCTGGAATACACGATTCTACAAGAGAAAAAAGTATAGCTGAATATGTATCGGATGTTAAGCCTATGGACTCCAAAGCTCTTAGATGCAATTCTAATTTATCGTGTAATTTTGACATGTCTAACTTTATTTTTTCTTCGGTAACATTTTTTACAACAAGATTTAAAAGTTTGCGTACATAAAATTCAATTAGTAATTCCTCCCTGCCGAATCTTGATTTTAAACATGCAATAGCTTTATCATAATTTTCATATGTCGGTGGGTAACTATCGACAATATCGCAAGCTCTAGAGCCTTCAGTCATACATAGAATTAGAATTAAATATTGAAATTTATCTTCTTTCGCAATATTTTCATCATCATGTATTCTTTTGAACTGGCTCCAAAAGGCAAGTCAATCTTTGATTTCCCCATCAAATTTCAAAATTTTGATCTGCGGTAACTTTAACTTTCGTTTTTGAACGAGTGAAGAATCAACAGAACTTTCAGTTTTAGAAAAATTTCGGTTTTTAGAAATTCTATTTAAATACATTTCTACATTTACTTCTGCCTTTACGAAATTTTCATTATATTCTTCTATTCTTGTGTACTCGTTCTGATACTTTTTATCGTCTTTATCTTCTAATAATAAAGAGCTTATTTCCTGATCTATTTCAGTTAGCTGACAATAAATTCTACGTAAATTAGCAAAGTTAGATCTAATGCTCTCTTCTTTAACATGATCTGCCTTTAATAAGTCATTCAAACCATTAAGGCACTTTGTGAAGTTAGCTCTTATAGGAGAGTGTTTTTTAAGAAGTAATTCCATTTTCAGAATAATAGATAATTCAAAATAACGTAGCTTTAATATCGCGTCAAACAGTCACCATGTTACGAGACTCTACCTGAATTTTGTTCATTCAGTCGGTACTCCATTAAAGAAAAACTTATAATCAAGTAATATGGGCAATCCACCCAATTAATTCACTATAAAACAGGCAATCCACCATAATGCAAAATCATGGTGCATTTTGCTTTTTTTATTCTAAAACATAAAAACGATACAATGTTGCCAAACCGTAAAATTTAACCTAAAATAAAGAAATTACATTTATACAACTGTTGTTGCTCGTGACAGTACCTCTTTCATCCAGTTCTCAGATAGTTTGGAAACTCAACGAAGAAATGTAGTAGTTTTTAGAGTCCTCAAGTAGACATTAATCTAGAAATTAATGTCGACAAAAGTGGGCCAGGATATTGTTATTATTTTTAGAATAAAGAGGAAATAACCTAATTAAAATGCTATTACTAAATTAAATTATGATGCTGAATTACATATTTTTTATCTTACAAACACACACACATATATATATACACCCACCCCCTTACCTGGCCTTTATGTTTGCAATTGTTGGTCGTAGTCAAATACTTCCAATTACAGAAATGTCTTAAATGGTCAAATTTGAAAGAAAAAAAAATAACAAATAATGAAATTTAACTTTTAATGCAATCACCTGATTCCTAAATATAAATTTGGGAAAGTTTGATACTTGTTATGAAAAATAAAATTATTGGAAGATTGACTCTTATGCGACAAAAGTGGGCCAGTATGCTTAATTTCAAAATTTGCAATTTTTTGTCTTTTTCAACTTAAAATAAAATTAGTGGAGGATTGACTCTTATGCGACGAAAGTGGGCCAGGATGCTTAATATCAAAATTTGCAATTTTTTGTCTTTTTCAACTTGCTTTCAGGGATCAAACAGTTGCTTAAGTTGCATTAATTTCAGGTTATTTGAGGAAGTAAGTTTAAGTAGTGCAGCAAAAAATGTGTATAATTTAACAGGCCATACAACAAAGTCATGGTGTCCATATCGGATTTTTTTTTTTTTTTTTTTTTTTTTAATTGTTATTTGAAATTGTTCGTAATACTTATTTAGTAATGTGCAATTTGTGTGCATTAGAATAATTTTACATTCTGATTCAAAAGCAGCAGCAAAGACATTGGAAGTTTTATAATTAATGAAACTTTAAATCAGAAATATTTTTATTCAGTATTTTTTCACTTATACTCTTTTGAATATAATTTTTAGAAAATTTAATATGTATTAAAAAGAGAATAGTCTGTGTTCAGTGATAGAACATTAGCATAACTATGCTGGTCAAAATAAATATTAAAAAAAATAATAATTACTATCTGTTTTCTGCCTCTTGCAACTGTGGAAAAGGGATTTCATCATTCAATAATTAAAATTTTACATCTTTCTTTCGAGTCATACTCAGTTGTACACACCTCATCTCCTGTTTGGCGCTTTATAACCATCTTTGGTTTTGCGCCATAATCTCTCACTCACTCTTTCGAGTCATACACAAGCTAGAGTCTAGAATATGTGTAAATTATTGAGACAAAGTTTTGACCATTTTCATAAATAACAGTTTTTTTTTTAAAGGCAGACATAAATGCCATTTAGTATTTATTTCTTTAGCCAAAGTTTTATGAATTTATTTTGAGAGAGTATTATTATCATAACAGTAATATGCCATAATGTAAGTATATACAACAGGAATGGACAAACTGTGGCTCTCAGGGCCTTTCCTGCGACTCACAAACTTCTGTAATCTTTTCTCTGTAACACACCTGAAACAAACAGTAATTTTATTTCTGAAATATAAATGGTGTAATGATATGCTTCTTTATAATTTCATAAATTACATTGTGTGTTTAATAATTTAATTAATTTCAAACTACCCATCGTATTTAAATCATCATATTAAGATGCGTAATATGCATATTATTTTGCATGCTTATTAATAAATGTGTGTATATATTCTTAGTGTATTTAATTTACCCATTCACATTTCTCCCTTCTGTCTTACCTCTATAGGAATCTTTCTCTTGTTGGAGCTCTTTTGCTGTTAATTGCAGAAAGCAGAGTTGAAGGAAAAAGTCTATTTGCTGGGATTCCAACACTAGGAGAAAACAAGCCAAAAAATTATCTTCAATTAACTGGGCGCATTCTGCTGGTTTTCATGTTCGTCACAGTTCTGAAATTGGAACTCAGCTTTTTCCAAGTCATCCAAAATATAGTGGCTTCAGCACTTATGGTACTAGTCACTGTGGGTTATAAAACAAAGCTATCTGCATTAGTTTTAGTTTTATGGTTATCTTGTTTAAATTTCTATTCAAATGCATGGTGGACACTTCCTTCATATAAACCAATGAGAGATTTTCTAAAGTATGACTTTTTCCAAACTTTATCTGTTGTTGGTGGATTGCTTATGGTAGTATATTTAGGTCCAGGAGGTGTAAGTATGGATGAGCACAAGAAAAAATGGTGATCTTTATAATTGTGTATTGTCCCATTTGCTTGTTATTTCTGTCTTCAAGGTGTCTAAATAAACAATTTTTGAGGAATTTTATACTTTTAAAACACTGTGTGCTATTTTGAGAAATATGTTCATATCATTTTTCAGAGCTTTGTGAAAATACTCAACATTGGGCATGTTCAGCAACATTAAATTACCATTTTTCATGTGTAACTTACATATTTTAATTTATGCAGTCATTATATGATAATAAAAATGAATTCTTTTTTGCACTGAGTTCATGATGTCTAGTATTAATTATTATACAGTTTAATTCTAAGTATAGGTAAATGCACCTAAAATGAATATATCACTTATTGTAAATTAATTTCTTTTTGTGTGTAATGGTATAAAACGTTGTATTTTTGTGGATTTGGTAATTATTTTACGCCTAATGATTGCTCATTCTGTACTAAATCAAATTATTAATAATAATAATCATTTCATTTTCGGAAGAGCTAGAATAATGATTGTGAAAATGTCAGTCTTTTTAATTTTTTCATAATTATTGTAAGGCTAAGGTATTTTTTATGATTTTACTGTAATGTAATTTCATCTGCTTTTATTTCAGTTCAAGAAATAAAAGCAGATGAAATAAATATGTAATCATTGAACAATTTATTTTAGAAAGAAAAGTGTTTTCGTTTTGAAATAACTAAAACAAGAAAACTTTTTATAATTTTGGGTATTTCGTAGTTGCACATTTCGTATGATACTAACATGTTTCTTGATAAACAAAGACTTTAAAATGTTAAGTAAATATATATATATGAAATCCTGTGTTTGGCTGATATTCATTTCATCTCCTGTGATCTTGTGCGGCTGAAGTTTAAATCTTAATTTTTACCACTATTTGCTACTCCTTTTAATAAATTTGATTACAAATTTTTAAATGTTAACTGTTTTTTCTGTAATGAGGAATATAAGTTGTAGTTCTGATTATTTCTATGATCAGGTTTAAGTATTCTAATTAATGAGGGCGATATTGTGCCATGTGGGTTTTTAAGTATATTTTATTATTTGAAATAGCATCAAGTGATTAATATATTAAGGACCAAAAAATAATTAATATTTGTATTAAGTTTTGTTTATGTAAATTATCCATTCACTCACACTCATGATCTCTGTAAATCATACTAATGCACTGGGGGGGGGGAATTCCAACTGAGGAAGGAAGTCTTATTTCACTTATTAGAAGTTTGCTAAATGAATATTTTATCATTTTTATTTCACTTTAACAAATAAAAAAAATAGACTTACAAATTTCCAGGTTGTATAGATTAAACAGCAGCTAAATATTTATTATCTAGAGTTAGTTATGATGGTCTCTGGTATTTTTGTTAAAGCTACACCATAACAGAAAGGAATAAAATAATATAGTTAATGGTAAAAGAAAGAACAGTTGGTATTCAAAATTTCTAGACATTCCAGATTCTTGATTATCTGCACTGCATGACATATAATATTTTATATCCTGCAATTCAGTTTGGCAAATTATTACTCCACTATTCCATCCTATTAATGATGACTATGTTATATGTTTTTTAGTTTTGTTAAATTGGCAACTGGTGGGATATGATAATTTGCAGAACTAATCTTATGTCTGAGATATTGATGAGAGCTCCAATACCATACAGAGGAGCTCAGCAGACGTCATTTAGCTAATAACCAGCCACGTACTTGCATTGTTGCCTGGATCTCTTATTTAATAAGGGTACATTTTTCTGTGGGGTTTATGTTAAAGACTAGATACTGGTTTCATTCCTAACCAAAAAATTAGCTAGAATAGAAACAGTAGAAAACTATGATTATCACTAAGGTTGATGAGGTACTATCACAGCAAGCAAGAGTGCAGTGCAGATAGTTGTGCTGTGTCATGAAGAACCAGTTTTTTGAGAATTTTTAGAATATGTAAAGTAGCTTTAACATTCCTTTTTCTGATAATATCAAATGTGAGAGATGGATGATGAAGTCCATTATTATTTCATAACGTTCTGTTACAATGTAATAGACACTAAAATCTAGAGGATGTTGTGATTTACATTGTATTTTTAACCAGAATATTAAAATTTCTCTTGGGATTAATCTACTAATTATATAAAAGAAATGTTGGAATAACTGTAGAGAATTGTACTTTAAAAAATTATTCTTGTTAAATTGTTGCAGTTATTTAACTGCAGTTTTTGAAGTATTCGCATATCTTGTATTCATATTTTACCCAACTCTAAGTAACCTGCATTTTCTTGTGTATACTTACATTTCTAAAAAAAGGGGGGTTGTGTATTTTATTTCCTTAAGTATTTATTCCATTCATACATTGTCAGTTGTCATTAAAATTAAATGCATTGTCAATTTTAATGTGTAAAATCTGTCGTAATACTATAAATGATTTTTTTATGTGTTTAGAGGATGATATTCAAGAACAATTTGTTGATTATTTATTTCTCTGCTATATCTATTAGCAGCTTAAACAAGTAGCTTTTATATAAAAACTACCTATTATGAAAATTAATGGTTCTATTATAGCTAAAACATTAATCATTAAATTTGTGACTGATCCCTCTTTGTTTATGAAATTTTTTTCCAAGTGTATCTCCAACCTGTATTGTTGATGAAAATGTTTTCTAATTATATCTAGTTTAAAAAAATAGAGAACTGTTCTCATGGACTCAGCATTTTCACAAAATTTTCATATACTAGTTTCATAACATTCTGCATCTTATTTTTTAAAAAAAATTATCTGGAAGCATAGGTCTAGAGCTCTTATTTAAATAAATAAAATCCAAATTCGAAATATTATTTTAATTTAATTTATTTTTTAAATAATCTATGTATTTATTATTTCGGTTAACATGCATTATCTTCAAAGCATTTTTATAAAGCTTAATTACACCAATATCTGAATTTGATCTGTTACACGAATGCCATGCAGTCAATATTTAAAAAAAGTTCATAATTTTTTTTAAATGCACTGCATAACCTGTGTTTCAATAAATAAACATCTTCAAGACAGCATATAAAATGCTGGTGTTCATATTTGATTGCTTGTGTGACCTTTGAAGTGTTTATGTGTATCATACAGTGGAAAGTAATCCATAGCAAAGTGACTTATTCCTTAAGTAGATTACCTTAAAATATACAAGGCTGAGAAAATTCTTTGGTTTAGGTAAAGATGAAACAAAATAATAAAAAAAAAAAAACTAGTTCATAACTAATGACAATAAATGTACCTTAAAAAATGTATTTTATAGCCATAAAAGAAATTTAATTTTCCATTTAAAAAAATCCAATTTTTAAAAAATGTGCAGGGGTGATTGTGGTTCGAATATAACCAAAATTCTGGATTTCTTTTACTTTCTCAAATCTGGAATTTCTAAATTTATGAAATGTAAACCCATAATCTTCCTCAGATTTAGTTTTAGAACAAATATATCATTCAGGCATTGTAAGACCATGTAAAAGCTCAAAGACTTAAATAAAGCTCAGTGAGAGATCAAACTTTTCGTATGAACAAACTGAGTATGCTAAAAAAATTTATCTTTTACAAAAAAGTTATTTTATTTCTTTGTATTATACAGAAAAACAAGAGAAAAGCGAAGTTTTCCCTGATGTATTCAGGTTAAAAAAAAAATGGGAAACAAAAATATCCAGTATTAGCAAAACTGTTGAGAAACCAAACTAGTTGTTGAAAGTTCATTTATTTATATGGGTGATAGATAATTTACTGGAAAACTAGCCAGCTTACTAAAATTCTTTACATTCTATGAACCATTCTGTGCTTTCTAGCTCTTTTTTATCTCTAGTGCATATACATAGAAAGTTTTAATCTAGTCATTGTCTGTAGCAAAATGTTGTTGAAAAATACAAATTCTTCAACTCCCTGAACTTACCTCTCTTTCCTGATAAGCAAACTAAAGTTAGTAATTTCTTCTGAAAATGTTAAAGACTAAAATAGTAGGTGACTGTGTGAAATGATGTCATGAAACATAAATTAATTTCAGTACTTGCATATTATCCCATTGAATGTAAAAGTTGGCAAAGTCCTACTAAAGTTGCACCAGTTTTAACTATGGAATTCTAAAGACACTGATATCTCTTCATTTAATAAACAATCAGCATTCAAACAGCTTCGTTTTCGCCATTCTTAAAAAGCCTTTGGTTAATTTCTAATATTTTGTAAAGTGCTTTGATTTTACCAGAATTTTTTTGAAGGTAGAATCCTGTGAAAATAATCCCTTGTTTTATGTAGTTTTTGAATTTTAATCATCCTCCCTTTTTTTTTTTTTTTTTTTTTTTTCAAAATGCAAGGGAAAAATGGCAGCAATAAAGTTAACTTATATCCTTCTTCATAAAAGCAAAAGGTGACTAATCAAAAATTAATCGTATCACATCAAATAAAAGTGTAAATGTTGTGAATGTATAAGGTATTTCTCCCACTTTCCTAGCGTGCCTTAATGGAGTAGTGGTTCTGCACGCTGGTATTCCAGAGGTCCGTAGTTCGATTTTTCATCTTGCCTGCTTCCAAAAAAAAAAAATCCTAATGTCTCTACAGTGGCACCCGAACTAAAAGGGATGAGGTTTCTCTACACCCAGGATTTGGCAATTGGGTTCCCTGAAAACCCCTGTCGCCCTTTAAAAGGGAAAGTATATAAACCGTACTTCTCTCGCCTTCTTGGCATGCCTTCGTGGTGTGCATGCTGGCGCTTCGTGGTTTGCACGCTGGGCGCGCATTCCAGAGGTCCGTGGTTCGATTCCCAGCGAAGGCGTTTGCTCATTTTTCATCTTGCCTGCTTCAAAAAAACTCCTGATGGCTCTACAAATGTATTATTATGTAATGCTTATTCATATTTGGCGCTAATTGGTCTATTTGGTAACAGTTTCATGGTCGACAGGATAAGACAAGATATTATTAAACTTGCTTTTTCATAAATAAACAAATATTATAATTTAATAAAACAAATATTATATTTATAAGCTTACTTTTTCATAAATAAACAAATATAATTTTTTATTAGCTTATAAATTAAACATATGTTTATATACACCTATATGTATATGTTTCATATTAATATTTAGAATTATTTGAAATTATATCCACAGTTTTTTTCATGATTTTTGAAATAGGGTCCCATTTCAAAAACCCTGAAAACCTGATGTATCTGTAATTAATTCAAATATGCAAAATGTTAAAATGTATTTCATTTAGAAGTTATCTGCATCATTAAATTATCACTTTCTTAGATACACTTACAAAAGCATTATCGATTAATTTATTAGTTATACTTTGCAGGTGCTGAATATAAAAGAACATATTTATTGCATTTAAGAATTTTATTTGCACTATTATTTATTAACAATATTTTGATCTCAACAAATTAAGTAATCTTGATATGTATACTATTCTATTATCCAAGTATTAATTTTGAAATTAACTTCATTAATGAAAAGTGAAAGTTTAGAGCTTGTATATTTTCTATTTACATTTTATGAAATAATGAAACAAGAAACAGATTTGACTCATGCTATTGCTTTTTTTTTTTTCAGTCCAAAGGGATTTCAGTCCCGAAGGACTATTGCTTTCATTTTGGCATTTTGCGTCGGACTCATAAACGTCGGTTCACTTTTCAAACTGTTGCCACAAAATGTTAGAGTCCTGCATTATATTTGAAGAAATTAAATAATGAAAATCTGCATAAATGATGTCTAGTTTCTCGCATTGTGATAAAACAATGGTACATAGAGCCATCGAATTTTGAATGACGAAAATCCTACTGCGAATATGGGCATCTGGAAATCCCAAATTTGGAATTTGTTTTATTATGAGATTTTTATATTTTGTAAAACTTTAAACGAATTTTTGATTTAACAAACTCAATGCTTTAAAAGCGAGAAATGGCTACGTTATATAGAAAAAAAATTTTATCTCCAGCTCGCGAGACTGTGTATATCGGAAATTCTAAAGATATGCTTAATTTAAACATTATTTTGCGATATTGCTCTTGAACTGGAATTTTATGGTTTAAGTGCGAAGAACATGATATTTTAATAAATAAAGGTAACACTCAACATTAAAAAAACGCCCCTTTGGACGTAATTTAAAAAAAAAAAAATTTTTTTTTTTTTTTTTTTTTTTTTTTTTTTTTTTTTTTTTGTGTGTGTGTGTGTGTGTGTGTGTGTGTTCTTTTTAATATTAGTCTCTAAATAAATATGAGAATAAGCTGTTTATATAATTTTTAGAAAGTATAGAAGCAAGTCAATTATTTGCTTGACTACCATTTTGCAAATACAATAACTGAATATAATAATTTTGTATCTCATTAATTATGAGAATTTAAAGGATTATGCAGATGAAATTATTTGTTTAATATTTAAAACTTGTTAATGTTTTTAAATCACTTGCGCTACGACTTAACTTCACGGTTGCGGTGCCATGCGCTGCAATATAACAAGCGGTAAAGTGTCTCATTTACGCCGCTCCGCGTCTGCAAGTGCAATCTAGAGCTGTAACTCGAGAAATAAACAATCTCGTTGTTAGGCGACATGTACACCATGTTATTTTAATTTTTTCGATAAATGCCTATCGACGTGGTGTTCACGTCGCTCGCGGTTTGAGACAAAAGTATCTCGACTTGCGTGGCACGTCTTTTTAGCGCAAGTAGTTAATCTAAATAACCTTTTCAAAAAAAGATTCTGAGTTCTTTAATTTTAAAAATGATTAAAATTAAAATCTTTGATAAATTGAGAAATAGTTTGTTTAAAACCAAATAAATGATTACGCCTTTAAGTAAGATAGAATGATTTTGAGGTCTTAGACTAAGGCATTGTGGGTCTAGGCAGTAATCAAGCCCAGCATTTGTCTCTTCTCCCAAATATATAAGCTAATAATTTTTATTAGCTTATAAATTTTATATGTTTATATACCTATATGTGTATGTTTCATATTAATATTTTGAATTATTTGAAATTATATTCCACAGTTGTTTTCAGGATTTTTTAAATAGGGTCCCATTTCAGGATTTTTGAAATAGGGAAATAAGGTCCCATTTCAAAAACCCTAAAAACCTGATGTATGTGTTCTAAAGGCATCACATAAAAAACATGAGAAATTTTAAAAAGTTTTCTGATATTAATTGCTGTGATTTGAATTTTGGCGTTTCAGTGAATGCTGCACTTCCATTAAGTAGTTTGGTAATGGTAAAGATGTAACAGTGGAAGTTCACTTCAACTACTTTAGGTAACTGAATGACTTGGTTGTGTGAATTTTTTCTTGTTTGTAATGTAAATACATTTATACTGGAAAACCAAATTTCTGTGCATATTAATTCTCCTATTCCTGTGGGCCCATCAGCGGTTGAGCAGTGAAGTCACTGAATACTCATAGTTCAACCTGGGCTTGATTCTAGGCAAATAGGCTGACTGCATCTGCATTTCCTTGGTTTTACATGAATATGAATCAGTTTTCCTTGGAACGTCATCTCCTTCTCTTAGACAGGTATCCTTAATGTGCTTTGTCATATTCAAATAAATCAAACCAAACCTGCTTTTTTTCATTTCAGTAAAAGGTTTGATCGCAATTTAAATTAATAGACATTGTGAAATATTTTGTCACATGTTTTTCGCTCTTATTTCAAAGATAAAGCATTTTCATTGTGCAGAAATACTGTAGACACAAAAAGGAAAAAATCTATTGGAAATGTTAATTTGCACAAAATCAAGAAACAAACCTCAGTGTCAAAAACTGTGAATTATTTGTTTTGCTAACTGTCATTTAAAAACATTTCAGTGTGTATTTATCATCTTTGTGACTAAAATAAACTATTTTCTTTTAACTAAAATGGTAAGTATATAAAAAAATTCTAGTGGAAGCATAATTCAACTGAGAATCAGAAATGGGAAAATTGGCATCGGAAAAAGTGGGCTGGTCACCAAACTATTATAAACCAAAGATTCACCAAATATGCATTTCGGATATAAGAATTCAACATTTTGTTACCAATTTTATATATATGTAAATA